AACTCGACTATTGTTAGATCTAATCTAACCTTACATTATACTTTTATTATTATAATTATACGTTTTATATAAGTTTTATATAAGTTGTAGAAAGTGAGGTTAACCATCTGACAGATGTCAGATTTCATTTATAAATTTTTTATAATTATTTAATTATGAACCAATTGGAGTAGAAGTATATTATTGCACACAAGATTATGAGCATTATTCACTTGGATGATATGCGTCTCTCGCCTGGCGATTTAAGACGAAAACCTCATAATTTAACATAAAATACCTATAATACCTACAAGTTAAATAGGATTAATTTTTTTTTGACACAAACTTTCGGAAAATTCATCTGTCACAGTGGTTGTCTTATTTAAATTATTTATTGCCTATTGAATAGCGTTGTAAAGTTTATTTACCCAATTGCTTAATAAAGCAATACAATTTTAAAGAAAATTCATTTTTTATTATTTAATTCATACTTTCGTATACGAATTGATATTTTAATATTTTGACATTTTAAGTCAAAATCTATAACAAGTTTAATGTGGTAAATGATTTACAAATTTTGTTATTTTCCATATTTTGCAAATCAAGGCTAAATTGTAGGCATTGAATTAGTGCTCATGGGCCCGTAATATGGTGGGCCCATTGGTATAGCACCCTTTGCTCCCTTAATCCAGTCCTGAGTTATATTCATATGCGTTTAGTGTATTATAACAATGTTGCTTTTAAAAGCGCGTCCAATCTGCATAATAGTGAAATTGGCTTTAATATGTACGAATGGTTTTATCACCCTTCAAAAACATTGCGCGTAACACTTATCCTTAATTGTTTGTTTGCAAAACTAAGGCTTTAATGCATTTTATTTTATCTTTCGCACAATAATCGTTAGTAAGCTTCATAAATCTTCCATCTTTTTGCTTTAGGAATTCTGTATACAAAGAACTTGGTTTTATTGTTTTCAAAATTTATCATACTTAAAAGGATTCTGAATTAAATAAAGACGTTTTCATCATCACATTTTCTTAAAAGTTTTCGTTTTAATTTTTCTTGCTTGCTATAAAAATTTTTTGGTTTAATGAGAAAAGTTTAAATTTATTTAAACTTGCTAATGTAAGAATATAAACCAGCAAAAATGATTTAATTAATTGATTTATTAAACCTGTATTTTAATGTCTTCCTTATAAAAGAAAAAAGTTTTGGAGTAAAAAGATATTGTCTATTAAAAAGCATTTAAAGCAGGTTGTGTTAAATAAAACAATAATACAAAATCTTAGGAATCCGCGTTTAATGTCCTAATAAAAAGTTATTAATGCATTAAAACCCCTAACTGTTAAACTCGGATATCCCTTGTCTTGGATTTTAAATTGCCCCAATTTAACTTATTTGGATGTAAACGTTTTATTGCCAATCATATTTTTGATTGGGGTTGTTTCCAATACAATTTAGCTTTATTCTAAAAATTTTGTTTATTTCTAGGTGACGAAGAAATTAACGGAAAGCTCAAAGGTAAATATTGCTCTGTTTTTCAAGTTAATTGGATTGCCTTAATGCATCATCTATTAAATCAACTAAGTAGTTAATATTGACACAGCTATAACTTTCCAAATGAATTAAGAAAGATGGCGAAAGCCCCCAGTCGATTCCGTGGTGGTGCAGATAGAAGGGGGTGGAATCCGGTAATTTCATAAAGGCTAGAGATACTAGTCGATAGAGGACAGTGATAAGAGGGCCGTTTTGGTTGATGACTTTTCGAGCAAATGACTGAAAGGGCTCTCAAAGTCAAGAAATACCACTTTGTGGGTCTTTCTGGAGAAGAGCAATCTACTCTTTGCGTGACGCTATAAACGCAAAATAATGTTTTTGTGCACTATGAGAACAAACTTTAAGAATATAGCATCTTAATTTTTTTATGAATTTAGATTTAACGACCATTAACATCGCGATGAAGGTTTCACTTCCAATACTATACTAGGTAAATTGAAAATTAAAGTTGTTTCAAAAGAAACACTAAAACTATAGGTATATAGAGAAATTAAATGCTGAAAAAGTACTCATGTTATATTATCGTTAGTAAGCTGCTATCTTTGCTAAGAGGTCTTCAAATCCTAAAATAATGATGAGGTAAATGTTTTGAACAATTTTTTTTACTTCCCATAGTGCACTACTTAAGCATGGCACCTTTGGCACGTGAATTCAGGACGCGCTGTAAAGATAATTTACGTTGCTCCTGGTGCTCTGTGCAGATGCTTTACGCTGATGGAGGATGGCGTGTTGGGGTGTCTCAACTTGGGACTCATTTTACCTATGACGCATGAACGCACACTTACGTGCTCGGCTCTTTCTTTGACAATTTATTCGCATTCATTTGGACCTTTGTTTTATTCAGTATCGTTTATATTGAATTTTTTCCAGCATGAATATACAATGAAGCTCAATAAATATTCTTAGATAACAAAATACATAATATATATTAATAAATATATTTAATATTAATAATAATAACTTTATTGACGGTTTACTATTTTACAATTTTAAATATAATTAAAGCATATGACAACGTAGAATTGACAAGAGATATTCAAATGTTTATCAAAATATGTAAACTACACTTCTAAATACTTATCACATTAATAAATGTAGAGTGTCAATAAATTTCCAAATTGATTGGCATAATAGGCAGGAGGATACTCGGCTACTCAGTTATTTGCCTTTTTGAGTAAAATAATTTATTTTGTCGAGTTAACCTTTGAGGTATATTAAAATGTATTTGTTAAAGCAATTCAGGACTAATGTATCGATCTAAAGTTTTGGGAATTTTTTAATACATGAATTACAGCTTTACGATGAGCACCAAACGAGTTACCATTGTTCACAATTATTCGTTGCTACGCAACCTTGATATGTTAAAAAACATTAGTTTTAAATTTCTCAAAAACATGTCATTTAAATTGGAAATTCGAAAACCTTGTTGGACGGCTATCGAAACGTGAAATTGTGAATATTTTTCGAAACAAAATATCTCCAAAACAACAATCTATCAGACAATAGCTGAATGCGAAATACCTTGTTTTAACTTACCAAAAAGTGGACGACCCAAAGTTCTAACTGAAGTTCGTGAAAACAGAGTGGTTGAAAGAGCAAGACATAAATTGGGTACATCTCATCGAAAACTGGCAAGGAGATTTCATGTAGCAAGTGCCACTATACAAAAAAGAGCTAAAAGAAGAAACTTAAAATATCGCAAAAGACAGAAATGCCCAAAATACTTACAGAGAATTACGATATGCTGCAGAGCACTACGACGAATCCATTTCGCAAACAACTAACGCACCATTTTGGATGACGAAAAATATTTCACTTTTTCCAATTCCGAAATGACAGTTTTTACACTGATAACATTGAAGAGGGTCCTAATAAAGTTTGGGCTGCCATTTCATATAGAGGTATCTCTAGACCGTATGTTGGGCGGGTAAGAGGGTAATCAGTTGATGCTAATATACGCTTATACCCAAAGATGTCTTCCAAAATTAGTTGGAGAGGAAATAATGTTTTGGCCTGACCTGGCATCATGCCAATATGCTCGAATCACCAGAGATTGGTTAGCAGCACATAACATACCTTTTGTATCCAAGAAAGACAATCCTCCAAACATTCCTCAAGCTCGCCCAATTTAAGCTTTTCGTCCTTACTGAGCAGGAAGGTCTATGACAATGTTGCGTCGTAGAATTTATCAAAAAATTCGAGAAGTAGATATAACATCCGTCCCGTTATTCACTTAAATATATTTTTCAAAGTTGTTTTTTCGACGTTTAATTTTTTTCCAAAACTTTAGATGCATATGTTATTCAATAAATTATTTAATATTTTGTTAGAGAAAAAAGGTAATTCTTCTATTAATTAATTTTAAATTTACCATATTTCTTACAAGAAAGTAGTTGATATTGTCACAACTAATATTTAATTTAATGGCACAATATATATATATATATATATATATATATATATATATATATATATATGTGTATGGGTGTCCAGAACATCAGGAAAATTGTTAAAAAAATCTGGATTTATTATTAACAAACATAATATTTGTTAAAAATTGTCAAATTCGTTACTTCTGCTTGAAGTCTTTGTCAGGAACTAATAAAACCATAGATTAAATCTATGAGGAAAAACACAAACACATCATACATATGTATGTACAGAGTGAGTTTTACTCCATAAAGGAATATTTAGGATAATTTAACAAAAAAATGCTATCAGAAAATCTAATTTTAAATTTTAACTGTCAATCATTGCCTATGGTGTGATGTCAACAGAAAACAATCATTTAACCAATAAATTGTTGTGATAATAAATTGAAGCACATCATGTTGCCAAACGCATGCGTATTGTTAAAGTAAAAATCCTAAAAGTAAAAAAATGCCCCATAAAATGTAACATAAATTCCTAATGAAACCTTTTATAAGACTCGAAACAATATAATAAAAGCAAACTTCATAATTCTCATAATAATTAGTTTATAAATTCTAAAAAAACGATCTTTAAACATCAAAATAAACTTTAGAAATATAAAGTATAAAATCTGATAAATATAAAAAAAGTTTCGCTACATTGCAATACAATCTCAAGCCTAGGTTACCCTATGATATTGGAAGTAAACTGTGCGCAATTGTTTTAAAATACTTTATTATAATCTGATATAATTTAAAAATACAATCGCCAGTAGCAGTAAATCATAAAATCGATGACGTAGAAGCTCACGGAAGGCAACAAATATAAATTTAGATAGGATTGTGGTGGCATAAAAGCGTACGTGTATCGTTTCAGTAATTACCGGTGCTGTTCCTCGAGCTGCAGCACCACACTATATTCCAGAAGTTTTCTTGTCCGCATAAGTCATACAAAAGTGACGTCGGTGTTGTGCGTAGTATAAAATAAAAGCAACGTTGTATTTATGTATGGTTGGTGTATAACTATACAGTTGTTCCCCCTGATCAAGTAGCCGGTCAACGATAAAACTAAGTCGTTTGCCAACAACAGTTCCGTGCTAAATTCTCTACCAGCCGGTCGCCATTCCATGCTTTGAGATCGGCAGATAAGACTAATTAAGAAACGACCTGTGGGGCGAGGAATTTCCCAATTAGATATTTTCGATTTTTCTCAAAACTAGTTCCCCCCGACTAACAAGGATCAAACCAGTTGCGGCCATTTTCAACGCTACCGCGGGCGGCGAACGCATCAATATGGTGGTAACGTCTTAATAATGTTCTCAACAGGACGAGAGGACTTGCTTTTGTGATGTGCGCGCATCTTGTGCTTCAACAAACCACTCTACTCGATTCTATTGCCCTTAAAACGACGTTTTTTTCTACAAGTAAGAAATTATTGTTGATACTCCTTGTGGAATTTTTATAGGTAATAACTTTTTAATACGGTAGGTACTTGAAATAATTTTTTATTATTATTTCGGCAGTTAGTGGTGCGCAACATCAAAAGTTTTAATGTGTTTTGAGAATACTTTTTAAACCTAACAATATTCTTAATATACTATAGGTAACAATATATCTGTAGGTATCGGTAATATATCTATAGGTATAGTTATATGTAAACGTTTTAATAAAAATTATGAGAAATTTAAAAACAATTAAACATTCATTCATAAAATAAAATATTTTTAATTTAAATCTGCTTCTGATTTAAAAAATATATTTTAGTTTAACAAAATTTTAAAAATAATTTAATAAATCCTAGATGAGCTTAAACCGCTGTGGTGATATCTTTTGTTAAATTTTTTTAAAAGTTAAAATTTGTGCCGTTTAATCCAGGTATAATTTGTTTTTTTTAATAAAAAGTCAAAGTACTGAAGTAATTATGAATTTTTGATAAAGTTTCTAGCCATAGAAATGGGAAACAAAATAATAAAACACTTAAAATAATGCAAAACCTCAAGTAACATTAACACAACCACAAAAAATAAATTCAATCTACAACTGTTACACTGGTACACAGATAAACAGTTTTTTGGGGTATTTTGGGCCTGCTGATTTAAAAAATAACATTGATTTTATTCCCTTGGGCCTTTTTTTTAAATATTGCAAAAAAAAATTCAAAAGCAAAAATTCAACAATTTTATTCGAAATTTTTCCTTGAAAAATTTTATGAGCAACAAATTTATTGTATTTTAACACTATAGGGTGTCCGTTATTTACCAACTTTTTACATAATTAATTAATTATTAATTATCAAAATTATTTTTTTACAGTCTAAAAACAGTTTTGAAAAAAATATTTTTTTCGATGACGTGAATGGTATTTATGTGAAATAGGAAAATCGCTGATTACAACAATATATAAGACATTTTTTGTAGGAAATTTTACGGCTTAGAAAAAGAGTTTTTTACGATTTTTTCTTAAAACCATCCACTCAAATAATATCAACGTTTAAAATAAATTTAAAAAAATAATTTGTCATTTTTACTTGCGTATCATCTAAATTATTTGTTTACAGTTTTATAACAATTTAGAAAAGAATATTTAAAATTATTTTATATATTTTAAAATTCGACCTCCGATTCCAATTAAATAGACGGTTTTACGAAAAATCATGAAAGAACTTTTTATAGAGAGTAATATTTACAACAAAAATATTTCTTATATATTGTTGCGAGTGATTAACACTTTTATGCCATTAAAATGTATTTTTTTTATTGTCACACCCCTCAAGTTTTTCGGAGTCAACATTTTCCGAGGTTTCGATAATATATACATATCTCAATATTTTAAATGAATAAAAATGAAATTTTAAAAAAATTAGCAATTTTCGAAAATAAGTTGTTAAAGATAGAAAACTAAAATCGCATCCTCATTTTTCTATAAATTCAGTACTCAGTACTTAAAAAGTTTTTAGCTGCTAATGCCGACTGTAACAATGAACATTTTCGATCTTATAAGATGTATACATAGATAGATAGATATATCTACTTCAATTTCATAAACTGATGAATCTTTCCGAAAAAACTTGTTTCAAATTTTTCACGAATTAAAATCGAATAAAATTGTTGAATTTTTGCATATGAGCAAAAATAGTTTTTCTGCAATATCAAAACAAAACAAAATCGGTGGAATCCATTTATCGGGCTCAAAATTAAATAGTTTGGAAATAATTATACACATTAGGAAATACATTTTATACCTCTCTAAAAAACTTTATAAATATATATAAACAATTTTTTTTAAACCTCATTAGGGCTTAAAATGATAAGAAGAAAAAAATATTCTTAAGAAGTGCCCTACGTTAATTTTTGATTAATCTAAAATTAGTATTTAACCCTTTTTTAATATTATTTAAATGTGTGATTTATTTGTATAATTTTTTATACTAAACTATAGTTATAATAAGACAACAATATTAAGTTAACTTACTTTTTATAATATTTGTTGAATACTTAGAACCAATATTAGAATTTATTAACACAAGAAACTTAACCACCAAACAAATAAACAAAAATTGCACCTCGATGTTTTCTAAGGTAACTCCGTGTGTAAAGTAGATCGGAAACTAATCAAAATCCCTGCGGTTGCAGCATAAACCGCAAATTCAAAGGGTTTACCTGAAAAGTGAAATCTATCCGATCCAATTTTTTTCCGTCATTATCCTTGAACCCTATCGTTGCAGCATTTTATAGCACCCCGTCGTAAAAGCAAGAGTGCCTCACTAAATTTGTTTAGCTTTTGACGTTCTCTATGCAAATCACCGTGTATAATGTGGAGAATATTTACGACCGAAAACATTTTTTTTGCATGCGTTAGACTGACGAAATCGAGAGGGTTTTCGGGATTTTTATGATTTTATTGGTGTCTTCATTCCGTAGGGCCCCCCCTCGTTCAATTATCTTGGTGCCGCTTTTTCGCTTGTCCCGTCCCGGGGATTTAATATTCCGGAATTAATTTCGCATTTACAAAAACAATTTTTAAATTTAATTTCGAGGAAGACCGTAAAACGGGCTTATTTATGGAAACCATCTTTTTATTACCGTCTTATGAATATAAAATATTTTGGGTTTAAATTCTAATTTACCATCTATTTTTTAACCAGAAACAAGTTTTTTTCATTAAAATAATACAAATGTTATCTTTATTTAATATGGGCGTCCAAAATAGGTGTTATAATATTTGTCAACTTTTAAAAACCCCTTATTATTTTATTCAAAGTATGCGCAATCGTTTTGAGAGTTTATTTTAAAATTGATGAAATTATTACCAAAAAAATCATAATTATATACATAATATAGTTTTTAAAAGTAAAAAAATCCATGGATGACACAAATAGTAGTTAGTTTACGAATTAATGCGCCAAGATCTTGTTTATTTAATTTTTGTGTTAAATTCAATAATAAATTTAAAAACATTTTTGCTTTGAATTGGGACTATATTTTATAATATAATATTAAGTAATAATTTATTTTTTAAGTGGCTTTTAATTTCATAAAAGTACATGCGACCAAATGAAGTTTATGAATGTTTAAATAAAAAAGTCAAAGTGCACGTAAAAGTAAAAGTAAAATGATTGTTCTTACCACTTTGAGGTCTGTTTTAAGACTTGCAAGTCTCTCTGTAAGAAACACACAACGTTTAAAACAATTATTAATCTGTACAAACCCAAAGCACAAGAATTGTAAACAACAAAAATGGCCGCCATTGAATGATGTGCAGTGTTGCAGTGATTTTTAGTATTTTTACTACGAGATCGAACAGACCTTGTTGTGTGGATTGTGGGTTACCCAAAGTGGGTAAACGTTTAATTTAAAACACATTGTTTTTGTAAATAAACACAGGTACATAAACAATGGATACAACAATCAACGTAAATTATAGATACACACAAATTTCGCAAATAAACACAAAAAAGTGACATTTAAAGCAAACGACAGTAACATTTTCGCCAAAATATTTAGGTTATGTTTTGAAACGGGCTGAGACTGCGATACTGCGCGTGAGGGATAAATAAACAATATGCAAAAACTGGGTTAAGTAAACTATTACGAAATCTTCTCTTACTGTTTAAAATTTATTATTATTTGTAAATTTAAAACATGTAGATCAATTTTTAAAATATGTAATGTGTGGTGAAAAAAAAAATAAATGATTTTTTTTTAAATGCAAATAGAATTAAATATTAAAACGAGAATAAAATTTATTTAATAAGCTCTTCTTTGATATTATTCAAATAATGATTTTTATCTAGTCCTATAGGACTGCATAATATTAGGTTTGTTCATAAATAATTACAAACTTTATAAATTCCCTGCCTGACAACAAAAAAATAAACTTATTATTTATTAAACTTATTATTTACGTTGTTATGCCTATAGGCATTAGTCCTAGGCTAACTTCAATATTCACTGTAATTTAAACCCATCTGGTTTTAAATTTGGATAAGACGACTATAATAATATTTAAAATTTGTAGAAAGTGAGGTTAACCATCTGACAGATGTCAGATTTTATTTATTTTTAAAAATTATTTAATTATCTTCTAATTGGAGTAAATAACGTATTCACTCGGATAATTTGCGTCTCTTGTCTGGCTACCTCATCCTCGTGAATAAATATCCTGCATTATCTCTCGTATAATATATTATAAACGTTTACTTTAACTGTTGTAAAATAAACAAATACTTATTAATTTCCTTTAAATACCATATCTTTATATTATTATTTTTTAAGGAGTTTTAAACCTTTTGTGGCTTGTTATTTAAATAACTTAGTTAACATTTGTCAGTAGCAACTAAATGTTATAGTTTCATCAATAAAAATAAACACGCTAGTCCTAATTAAAGAACTATTTCTCTCTTTTAACTTATTTTGTTTCTTATCTGCCTAATGGCCGCATATTGTCCGCCTTTTAAATATTCATGTGGCCCAAAACCGTAGCTTTGCTTGATCGTACCCAGCCTTCCCAAAAACTAGCGATACGCTTAAGCGAGACTACACTTATAGGGGACCATTGCTACCCTAACATTCGGTCTTATGTTCTGGTTGGTCGACCAGATCTGATTTTAAAATCGGCCCTTCAGGCATAGTTAATGTCGGCACATATATTTAGACACAATACCAACGTGTGTGTTTTGTCAAGGCCACTGAAGGGTTGACAGTTAGTTAACTATTTTAGTTTTTAAAGTGCGCGAACTATTTTTTGTTTTGTTTGTGATAGTTTTCTTCTGTGGATTTTGTTGAATTTTGTTTTACTTTTTGTTATCCATCACTTATTTTACTATAGGTATGTTTTAATTTTTAATTTGATTTTTATAAATTATAATATATTATTAAAATATTTGATTTTTTTACTTGTTTACAATGAATGTAGTGAAAGAAACATAATAAAATTAATTTATTACTTCTAAAACCTCACGTTTTCATAAAATTGTAATTATTAACAATTTATAAGCTTTTTTTGCTTGTCTTCCTAACTAGCATTTTAAGTTAAAATAACTACGTTATTTTTATATTAACGGTACAATATATTTTAATTATATGGGGCAATGGTTTAACGTTATTTTTATAAGTATACTACATAATAACTATTCAAGCGACCAAAACAATAACGTAATAAAAACAAATTAATTACCACATATTTACGTTATAATAACTTATTATTTATATTTTAAAATGGTATAAATACCTAAAGTAGGTAATAAAGTTTACCATAAAGTAAAATTTATAAATTTAACTTATATTGACAAAACTAAATTATAATAAGCATTAAAACTCAAACGCAACGTGTCATATTTATAAAAATAGATATAATACATCATACAAATACATACATATATGCCTTTTGTATAAAGTAAAGAAATATAAAAAACTTACATAATTATATGAAGCCATAAAATAATCATTTAATTTAACTTTAACTTTGTAATGATTGAATATTACTTTTTTATAAAATATTTGTAAAAAACTATTTTATTTATTATTATATATATATTTTTTATTAAATATTAAATTAATTATGGTGTCTTTCAAAAATATAACTCTATCAGATTTATGTTTTATTTAAAGTTAAACATTTACTTTAAATTTACCCTTTAAAAACAACCTATAAGTAATTATCTCCTGTAAAAATTACGTCATAATTTGAATACGTTAAAGTTGTAAAACTTTATAGTTATTAAAAAAGAAAAATTCATAATTGAAACTGATTATATTACCAGACAGTTTTGAATGTTAATTTAACACAATTAATTACCTAATAAATCCGCAAAGCTCGTCATTTTTACTTTAATGCTACTTGGGTTATGACATATCGGGGTATATGGTATATAATGTTACGGTTTTGAACATTATAACAAGAAGTTTACAATTTGTTTTCGATTTTTTTAAATTATATTATTATAAGTAAACATTAGGGAATTTATTTTCATACAAATATTCATTGCATACTTGATAAGTCAGATTAACAACCAGGAACCAGTCACAATTGATGGTTCAATTAAAAGAAAATGTTTAAAAAGACTTGTGTTCCACTCAAAATTTGCCATTTATAAAATATTTTTTGTCTAGTTTTGAAGACAATTTGCAAGGTAATAGTGTTATATGTGTGAAAAGATTTTATCGAATGGTTACTTTGAAAAAATATTTAAAAATTATGCATGGAAATTATGAACCACGCGATATATATATATTTAAACATTGAAAAAGAAAATAAAGGGTGTACCTACTTTATACTTTTATCATATTTTCCCCCCTGGCATTTCTTTTACTTATATTTAACACAATTTTCTTTATTGTTACGATTTTTGGATCATAACTTGGCCACAGAATACTACGGGGTCTGTGTAAGCTTTAAAATATTATTCAGAAACACGATGTTAATGTAAATATTCACCAAAAGCACTAAAATTTCCGAAACCATGGAGAAAATTTACACTGTTTTACGAGAACGACACGTGTTACCAATATAACAGTTGTGAAATATCGTCGTCTAGCTCTTGATCTGTGATAACAATGCAAGTATATTTAGTTGGTATATTTACCCACCAATGAACATGGACTATTTATTTATATGTCATAATTAAGTTATAAACATAGTTATTTTGGTTTAATCAAGTTTTTTTTTTAATTTGAAACCAAAAATTGTTTTAATTAACAAATAAATTTACCCATTTAATTAGGTAAAATTAAATATTTCTACTATTAATCTGCCAAAGAACGGGAATAATAAACTCATTATTCACGTTGTTAGGCATAAGTGATTGGCCGATTTCAATATGAACTGTGATTTGAACCAATAAATTTGAAGAAGGCGACTATTATAACATTTAAAATTGGTCAAAAGTGAGGTTAACCATTTGACAGATGTCAGATTTTATTTATTTACTTTTAAAAATCATTTAATTACCTACTTGTTGGAGTAGATAAAGTATATATTACACTCGAGACTATGCGCATTATTCACTCCGCGGATGATTTAAGTCTCTCGTTTTGGCGACTGCAGACGCAAACCTCATCCTCGTAAATAATAGCCTGCATTATCTCTGGTATAATAATATACTATTATCTACTCCTAGATATTTATTATTATTAAAATTGGCTTTAAATTGTTCGTCGTAAATAAAGAATAATATGCAACTCGTTTTATAAAGTTCTTTAGACACTTGTTTTAATTAAATACTTGCTCGTAAGCTTCGCTCGTGCCCAATAAAACTAAACTAACTAAAATTTAGTTTATAAATCTTTATGCATAATATACTATTAAACGGATGATTTTGCAATTTGATATTATTAAATATGTAGATTAACACAATTAATCCATTTTGTAAAATTTTTAATGATTTTTTTTTTATTTTTAGCCATTTTGGAGTTTTTTCCATCAGTTTATTTGGAAAATTATTGGTAAGTTTTATATAATAATATTTTTTATTTTTTTTAAATATATACATTAAATCGAAATATTGTAATTTTATTGAACATAAAATATTTGCAACATAACGTTTGAGCATGTTAATATCTAAATACACCAATTATTTGGACATTATTTTACTAGATCCTGCTTACTTTTTATTTTTTATCTGAAATCCTATCAATACCAAATAGTTAGAACTTCGTTATTTTTGGTAATTTTGAAAAAGTTAGTTTTACATAGGTATAGTATACTATACGCATACATATAGTATACGCGCGTTATAACTTGACTAAGCTCGACGCATGTGGGCGTAGTCATTGGCACTTGTTTAATAAAATTGAACAAATAGCCAAACATTTTTAAAAGTAAATATTGAATACGCGCGACTGCGTTGCCAAATATGTGTTAAACTAAACTTGAAGGGCGGCATTACGAAGTTACGTCAACTGAGCATAGGGCGTTCTCGCCAAGTTATAACGCGCGGACTGTATAAACATATACATTTTTGTCCAATTTGTATCTTTTTTTTGCCTACTAGATTTTAAGTTTTCATCTTAAATTTTTCCCATGACTTCCATATTAAAATTTTACATAGTTAGATAAAAAAAATCAAGGAATCCACTACGTTTAATAAAAGTTATGACGACCACTAAAAACAAAAAATGGTAATGGTAACTCAAAATAATGTTCATTTTATCAAAATGTTTTTAAAATTTCCAGGATATGTTTTTAGTTTTTTCAAATTTTTTTGAGAAACACTGGTTTTTTTCTATTTAACAAATTCTATTTTAATAGCCTTGTATACAATTTTTCTCGGATATAACCGACCATAAGCTCTTCAAATAAAAAAAAGTATCCACCTATACACATAGAAGGATACTTGGTACATTGTGGCTGAATAAATTTATAACTAAAGAATACATATTTTCTAGAGGTTCTGCATTAAAATATAAATTTTAATATAAAATCCCGTCAAAACGCGGAAGCAGAAACTTTTTATTTTTCTTTAGAATTAGATTTTCGTTTTAGTATGTTGGCTGCGTGAAGTGAAGCTTCCAGCGGGGCGAGCTTTATTTTACTCAACTTTCCGACTTTTACGGCCGCACGTTTATTTTCCTTTTTTGCCCGCTCCCTTCTGCGCCGCCCCAAGAAACAAGACTATCGAATTCCGCTCGACATGCAAAAAATTCCGCAGAGAATCGTTATTGCTTTTCTATGTGGTCTTTGAAGAACTGCAAAGCGTGAAAAATACGAAAATGAAAGACATGCTTAATCCTTAAAAAATAAAACTTACCAATGTAGATCTAAAAACAGCATTTTTTATTTTTAATTGTAAGAGAATAACATACTCTATTTTAGTTTAAACATTAGTGACCTTTTTTTTATTTTTTTTTTTTACAAAATTATCAAACATATTACGTCCCCAAATAAAAAAAAATCACTGACTTATTCAAATTTGCTTTGGGGCCATTAAAATATTGTAAGTTTGTAACTAAAAAATAAAGACAAGTTTCTCGAAAATCACTGTTAATTGTCTATTTTTCGTTTAAAATTACCTACTACGGCAATAGCGTTTTCGATTTTTCATCAAAAAAACAGCAAATTTGCTGAATTATTAGAAAATAAGGATCTGAATTCACTTTAACAATTTTTAAAATCACGAAAATTCCTTCACAGTCATTGGAAAATATTATATTATCAAAACCTCGAAAAATGCCCACTTCTCTATGACACCCCACTCGCGACTCTTTACGCGTCAAGGACAATATAATGAGTTTATTATTTTTAAAGTTTTCTCGAGGTTATTGTTAAAAAAAAATAATTGTTAAATTATCCTGGGGGTACTCTTTATAATTACTTTCTATAGAAAATGATCTCTAGAACGTCATTCTTCATCACACTTATAGTGCACATGTGCTGTTGTGCTAAAAGTTTGGCTTAATGCTATCTTACGCTTTTCTTAAGTACTCTTATGTTGTCTGTGATATAATATTACTGATATTAAAATTTCGGTGTTGGATTGCAAAAGATCAAGAAGGTTTAATCTTCTGTCAAAGTGAAAGGAATGATTTATGGATTATTTCTGTATGCATTTAGCTACAATTTTCTTTACGATTAGTCATATATCTTCCTAACTTTCGTATACTTAGTAACCAAAAGTTGCTTTAAGAAATTCTAAATCAAAGCCTTTATGGAATTCTTTGTTGCATTGTTATTTTTAATGCCTTATGTATTATGTTACACAGCATATTTACTGTGTTTTTTCATAAATATTAATATTGAAACAAGTTTTCTGAAGAATATTTATTTATCTTTAAGAGCTGTGTTGATAAAATTTCAATTTATAGTGGAAAAATCCAATATCCATAACTCCATAGAACATATAAATTTATTAGCATGGCAAGAAGCCACGCCACTTCCCACCGGGACGGGATCGGACTGGATAGAAAGAGAGAGACCAATAAAGAGCCCCGTAAAAAGTTGTGTAGATGCAAGTGCAATTTTTTACAAGATAATCTTGGTAGGAATATTATTTAGATATATCAGGACTGAAATGGCAGGCCTATAAATATTATTGAAAATAATTTACGATCCGGTCTACCTGTAAAACAGTCGACCTACTCGCCGTGTATAACGCCAACGGAGAATTTACTGCGACGTCGTCTTTTCCGTTTCTTTTTAGCCTCTTGGAACAAGGCAGTCGGCCATTGCGAAAACGAGTTACAAAGTATACGCTAGCAAACATACCTTACGTATATCGAGAAATATATAGTATAGGACATGTTTTAAATTTTAAAATATTCTAAAGATAGTATACCACTATAGTGGTAAATTTTTTCAGAAAAAATCTTGACTTTCCGCCTAGGAGCTGAGAACAAAATTTGTGACTAAAAACAGGTCGTTTTATAGGTGACACATGTCAAAATGACAGGTGACAGAAGTTCAAAATAAACTATTACCAAGGTTACCGGATTCTGTCAAAAAAATCGGGACACTTTATGTGAATTAACCTTAATTACCAAAGAACTAACAATAACAAAGTAACGTCAAACTTACAATTTTCATTGTATCATTATGTCAATTTTGTAATTAAGATAAATTCATACAAAATGTCCCGATTTTTTTTTTGACAGAATCTGAAAACCCTGCCTAAAACAGATTTAAAAATAAACCATATAAAACGAAAATACGAAACAAAATAAGATGACATCTGTCAATATTGACAATTTACTTGCTATAGCATATAAGCTATACTGTAGATTTTCATTTAATTTTATGACAAGGAAATATCCAACCCTTTAAAAAATATTTAAAAACTCTTTTAACACTTGTTCATACATAACTATTATTTACGAATGCTAAATCACTTAAATTGTCAATAATGACAGATAACAGATGTACGCTTATTTTGTTTTGTATTTTCGTTTCATATGGCCCATTTTTGACAACTGTTATAGAATATGTTTGACACCTGTCATCTGTCATTTTTGACATCTGTCACCTATTCTTTTTTTAAACGACCTGTCACATAAAGGTTCAAGAATTTTTTCTTAGCTCCTAGGCGAAAAGCAAGAATTTTTACTTTTATAACCTTTTACAAACTTTTACTTTAATAACCTTTTCATTTAAGAAGTTATTTAAGGAATTGAGAAAAAAATGGCACTTCCTAGGAAAAATTTAAAAATTACAATAATGGGTAATTAATTTTCGTGGAATTTTTTGTTATCCTAGCCTATATATCTACACAAAATTTGAGGAAAATCTGATTTGGTGTGGTGGACTGCACTGTTTGGTATGACGTGAAATGACCAAGTGCTGACACAATTAAATTTATAATAATTGTAGACTCATCTTATCCCATAAAAATTGTCAAAATGTCACTTAAATCAATCTCTCGTGTCAACATTTGTAGTTACGGTCATTGCCGAAATTCGGATAAAAAGAAACGATTTATATACCGATAAATATGGTTTTTTAACAATGTCGCTGATCGAGCAAACTTTTGAATTCAGCGTGCTCAAATTACCCTATAAAAGTTAAAGTATACCTTGCAGAAATGTCTGTTGTGTTATGTCAAAGAAGTTATGGTGTTAAATTACAGCTTCTTAGAGGTTAGATAAAATATTCAACTTAAATTGTTTTAAATTAGCAAAATAAAAATTGCGAAGGCCAAAATTCAGCAACACTTGCTTGAAACAATTTTGTATGGAAATAAGCTTATATATAAAAATATTTTCTATAGAAAATATTTTTATATATAAGCTTATTTCCATACAAAATGGTTGCAATAAAACGTAAACTTGCATATTTTACGATATATCGTAAAATATGCAAGTTTTCGTTTTATTCAGCAACATCTTGGTATTAATAATTATTCCCAGCATATCATTTCCCTTATTAAAAACCCTTTACCTATATTTCAAATTAATTATAATTGAGTGCACAACACAACCAATTAAAACTAAAAAGAAACAAAACAACATAATAAAACATGCAATCGAGTTAACTTTACCTTGAAAAACAACGCAAATAATTAAATTAATCATCAGGCTTGATAATTGCTATAAATCTGCATTCCAAGGCTGTGACCAATGGGAATATTTCTAATTTAATAATAATGGAAAAACATCACATGCACTTTATTTCCTGGAAACATCCAATTAACAATTGCATTGTCCTGTTCGTTCACCCTCCGCCATGTTCTTTTCTTTTTTTGTCTAGCCGCTTTAAATGTATGATACATATATAAAACGAGTTTCACAATAGTGCTTTTTATATTCACTGACATTTTAAAATTGTCTTATTATTCTGTCTGGTTATTAAACCCTGACGGTATTTTGCTTCAATGGTTTAGAGTGGGAGGAGGAGCAATCATTTGGAAATGTGCCAAATTTTTACCAAAAATGGTGTCGCCAATATCAATATCGTGTTTAATATTATTTTGTGGGAACATAATCAAAACAAACTTGTTAACATTTCGATGCAACGC